AGAGTATTGTGCATTTTGGGATTTTTTTTTTGTAAACTAAATTTTATTTAAAATTTTCAATAATACTAAATATAACGCTTGTTGAAAAATGGTTTATTTTCATGCGCAGCCACTAAAAGTTCATTTGTACATATAAATAAGGATGATAATTATTATTTACTGGCTTCGAGATGTTCTCAACACCTTATCTTACCATGTCAAACGACATCCCCTGAATTTAAAGTGACTCTTCAAAGAAATGGACATGTAAAACATTCTTTACGCATGATTCAAACTTATATAGAAAACGACGCAAACTCTTTAATATTTTTAATTTTCTTAGGTTTTTGGACTAAGCGAAAAGATCACTTTTGACTCCAAAACTGGTTTTGTCATTAAAGAAGCAAATTGGGATACGGACAGTGTATATACTTGCACTGTTGAAAATAAAAACTTGTCACATGCAATAAAAATAAAAGCTCAGAGTACTACCTTCTCTCCATGTATGAGTATCTTAAGAATAGACGGTGAAAAAGCTGTATCAACAGGTTCGAGATTGAATCTTACATGCACAGTTCAAATAAGAAGAGAATCCTTTTATATTATCTCCTGGGAGATTCCACACAACGTGGTAAATGTAACACAACTACAACTTAATATGCAGTTTTGTTTTATGTCCTAAAATATAAATAATTAGATATTTTTTAAATATGGTGCTAAACTAATAAAAAACATGTACTTATAAGACTTCCAGAAAAATTATAAATACCGTTCAAGTAGAAGAAAAAGGATTCTATAATTTAGTCAATCTTATAACGTCTGAGCTTATTATTAACAATGTTACTCACGATGATAGAGGTAACTACACTTGTAAAATAAGATCTTCGTTTGATGAAGAAGAGAGTCTTGATACTCACGTTTGCGTGTTTGGTGAGTGATTGATAAATTTTTTATCGTTTATTAATATTGTTATCATTAGGATTATTATCTTTCCTTCACAGTACTACGTAAAAAATGAAACTCTGTAAATTTAATTTTGTAGATCCTAATAAACCATACATCAATTTATCATCTGATAATCTGAATATACACTCGGATACTGGTAAATCAGTGACTTTTTTGGCTCTTGTTGATGCATACCCAATACCAACTTTGAAGTGGTAATATTTTTATTTATATTGCTTTGGTATACGTAAGTTTACATTTTTTTTAGTATTAAAAAATCTTTTCTATTTCAGGACTCACCCTCTAGGTTATATAATTCGTCCCCACTTGTGGAATACAATAATGTCCGATAACGAAACGATGAGCCGATTGACTATATTAAACATCGCTGAATATGACACGGGATTTTTTACGCTTACAGCTAAAAATGATAAAATAGTAAAGGAGTTAAAATTTTATCTTGACGTTCATGGTACATAAATATGTTAGATTCTCGCGTGACATAAATGTTTTGAACGGACAAGATTAGAAATTAAAAAAGATTAGAGAGACCATTTTTTAAAACAGTTTTATCTTACAGTTTTGAGTATTTTTAGTTCAATATTATCAAAAATATAAGTAGTCTGTAGGCAGTGGTGAAATTATTATTTAAACTCTAGACTTGCTGCACCTGAATAATAATGATTTCGGAGTATTAGTTTTGAGTTTTAAGGAGTCAATAATTTTTTAATTTACAATATATGCTTTGATTAAAAGGAAAAAAACGTCATCTCTCAGAAAGATTTGAGACTTTATCATTTTCTTTACCTACATAATGGTGTTTAAATACTGACCTCAGTGATAAGAAACCATTCCTAATATACTTTGACAATTTTTTAAAAATTGGCATTTCATAATTGTAGATTAGTGGGCTTGATAGAAACTATGTTTAAAATTGTGTATTGAACTTATGTGTATACTCTTATGTCAATGAAAGTTGCAACTATCTACACTTATAATTAGAATTCCACATTAGAAATATAATTTAAATTCAGACTAGCTTTTTTTGCATCATTTACAGAAAAAGACAAAAAAGATTTATCAAGCCCATACGTCTAATACTGAGTAGTCCATTCATCAAGAAATTATCTATAAGACATTAAAAAAAATAATGGACTGCAATTATACAATTTTTGAATAAACAAAGTGCCAAATAGAATTAATTTTATTTTTAGGCCTTAATATTGTAAATTGAATTAATATTAGTCGATATATACTTGCTTGGGCTCAAAATTTGTACTTTCAATCTACCAATTTAGATAAAATGGTTTTGTTTTTGTAACCATTATGACTATAAAACTCTCTGAAATTAAAAAATGACATTTAAAGTTTCTAACTCCTTCCTGTGAAAGGGCTAACTCTACTTTTCAATTGTAAAGCTTATATTTTATATTTTTATATATTTACTCATATATTTACATAAAGCAAGTTTGTATTCAGTAAAGAAAAAAAGTTTAAATTTGTCGGTAGACATGTGGCTGAATCTTTGTGAATTTTTTTTTGGTTTTTTTTTTTATTATCTTGCAGTTCTAAATACTTATGCTGCTTTTTGTTATGGAACTCCATGTCAAGCATTCGATTTTTTTTTCTTACAGGTAAGCCAACGGTCAGGTTTGACAAAACTTACCTCACATCTTACTACAGTTTTAATAAAACTGCCAAGTTTGTTTGCCTTGTCGATCGTCATCCTAAGTCGAATATATCCTGGACCAAAATTAACTATTGGACGAAAACGTTGACTCTTGACCTTACAGAACATAACTTACAGGTATGTTAGTTACTATAAAAAATAATTTGTTCATCTGCATTCTTACGTTTGGACTAATATTTGAATGTAACCATAAAAATAACATTTTCTGAAAGTTAATTCATTTTTCCAGGGAATAGAAACAGATGTGCAGAATAGCAATTTCAAACAAAAGTCAACGGTAGAACTCAAACAGCTAGTAACATCTGGTGTAATAACATGCAAGGCTTGCAATAGCTATGGATGTACCTCTGCGTCAAAGGAAATTCGCATAGCAGGTACATAAATCTAAATAATAGTGTTTAACTTTGATTTTTATAAAATTTGTATTTTTGGTCGTAACTTACTGTTGCGTGGATAATTTTTTTTTCAGATGGGGTAGATAAACCATATTTTGGAATCATACAACCAAATAGAAGTTTTCATAAAGGTGACAATATTTCTCTAATATGTGCTGTTTTGACTCATTCTTTCTCCAAAGTCGTATGGTATGATGAAAACGGTCAGGTGGTACATACTTCCGGTCAGTTTTAGATTTATTTTTTAAGTGTCATGGATGAGAATTTTCAGTATAGTTTGAACAATCATAAATATTTTTCTAAATGTTTAGAAAGAATACACGTTACATCGAAGGTAACTGAATTTACTTACCAAGCCATTCTCACGATCAATAACGCCATTCAATCAGATAGAAGAAAGTACTATTGCAAAGGAACGGAAAGTTACAACAGATTTGTTGGATATCCTTCGCGCAAAATACTGACAGAGTCATACTTCCTTAACATCAATGGTAAGAATGAGAAACAGTTTTGATGTACATTATCATATATAAATCTCAACTATTTTTACTTCGTTTATGGTTATTGTGTTGGATAGATCCACCTACTTTTACCCGTGTAAATTTGAACGCTACAGAGAGAACTGTGATGGCAAGGGATTTTGAGAATCCCCTGATATTATTATGCCATGTTGAAGGGATTCCAACCCCTAACATTACGTGGACAAAAAACAATGTACCTCTGAAGATATCATCACAGTATACTTTCGAGGACAACAATCAAAAATTAACTATAAGATACTTTTTTGAAAAAGATTCTGGAAATTATTCATGCCATGCTCAGAACGATTACGGAACAGTGGAAAAATCCCAAATTATTGTCGTGAAAGGTAACAAATATCATTGCCAACAGTAATGACGCACTCCTTTATTTCTTTTTCATGTTCCGAAAACGTACTTTAACGAGTAAAATTAGTCTGTACTATACAAAAGTACAAAATATTTTACATTTGATTATATTATCTAAAACTATGTAAGGCATTATTGATTTCTTAAGAATAAATTACTGAATATTTAACAAAGTATAAATCGTTTTAATCAGTAACAAAAAAAAGTTTGATTAACAAAAATTCATGTAATGCCGAGCAGTCAAGTATAAATACACTCGACAAATTTTTTAAATAGTAAAGCTCATAAGGTCATGCTTTCTCTATACTAGAAAACAAGATGGGTGTAATAAGCCTGCACCTATAGAAACATATATGATGCATTTTGTGTCCTTTTTCGTTGCACACATGTAAAGAGATGAAGAGTCTATGGTTTAAAAAAAAAGTTGTTTATAATTCCTGCAGAAGCATTGATTATCTAAATCAAAAAATTAGTTAACTCATGCCTTACTTACTCTAGGGGCTTCACATTGTGAATCTGAATATTGTATTGCTTTTTGTACCAGAAACTTTACAAAAAAGAAAAAACCATCTCCTCAAAGAACATGATTTGAACTTGTTTTCTAAATTTATGTTATTAAAGTCGGGTACTCCAGTTACAGTATCTATTTGTATGTGCGTGCATGTATTTGTTTGCATGTGTGTGTGCGTTTTATTTGTTACATCCTAGGATTTCCGTATCCAACTTAAATAATGCATTTTTGTTTGTTTTTGCTGGAAAAAATTCAATTTTACTGTAATTCAATTGTACAATGATAATTCCTGGAAAATTTACGACCCTTAGTTTTCATCGTTGTTGCAGGATATTTTAATAATAGAAACTTAGAATTTAATCGAATTTTATAGCTTTCTGTTGAGAAATGTTTTTAAACTGAAAAAACAAATCATGTAGATTGTTTTGGATTTAGGTTGTATTTATACCGTCAGAAATTTCAGGTTTAAACCGATAAGTTTTGACTAACTTAAATTATTATTGTTCGTTTGTAGTTCACTCTTATTAATTACTCTTATTTGAATACCAACTACTCAGAATTAAAATTTTGTGTTATTTTTTTCGGTCTTATTTTGATCTTGCCATTTTCCAAAAACCAATTGTTTTGTTTGGTGGTTTTTTGCAATGGAAACTCTAATCAATGGAGATCAGAAAGCTTGCCATAAAGTCTTACACAAAGAAGAATTCATTCACTTACATTTAAAAAAAAATTCGCTTTTCCGGTGTGCAATGTATGTGTTGATGTATGTGAGGGAATAATTCTACGTGAATAAGATCAGAAATTTCTTGCGTAAAATGTTATAAGATAGAAAATGAGAAAAACGGATGTACATTTGAGTGTATGTATATAGTATCCATAGGATTATATCAACAGGAGTTGTATATTAATAGCAACTCGATTATCGAAATTGGGCTTTTTTACCCCATGACTTTAAAGTATTTAAAACTTCATGCATAAGAAAAATTTACCGTTCGCTAAACTTACTTAATTAACTCTTATCAAGATCATGGGAATTATATAAATGTATGAGTTCTTATTTCATCATATCAGTAATTAACTATGACGTATGCTATATGTATATACTATTGACTGTCTTGAGAGCCGAAGACGCGCTAGCCCAAATGAATTTTTTTATTTCAAAGACGATTTTATTGTCTTGTATATTGCAGGATGTAATATAAAAAAAAATTATTGTAAAAAAGGTCAAGCCATCGACAGGAAATGTATTAAACAATCAATGCGAACGAAAACTGCTTCATGCACTTAATTTGAGATTTGTCAGGATAACCTCATGGCAGTTTATTTTCTTTTGTAGCTTAAGGCTATTCTATAATAGTACTGGTATAACTTGTTAATGTATAAATTTTTTCTAGAAGATACAAGTTATTGTTTTAAATATTGTGGTAAAAGATTAAACATCTTATTCTTTGTTTTTCAAACTACACAACTTCAGAATTTTAGATCAGACTAAAAAAAAATATTTCTTTTAAAGTACTTGTATAACTTGTTAATGTATAAATTTTTTCTAGAAGATACAAGTTATTATTTTAAATATTGCGGTAAAAGATTAAACATCTCATTCTTTATATAACTTCAGAATTTTAGATCAGACTAAGAAAAAAAAAATTTTATTTAACATATAAAGCTAGATTCTGATTGTGTTATGATGATTTATCCTCGAAAATTTGAGTATGAACGATTTGATTGCATGGACCGAATTTAATATTAAAAGCAGAAAAAAGTTCTTTGATAAAAGCAATCAATTTTCGTTGTAGGAAATCCAAATACTAATTTTTATACTGGAATAGTCGTATGGTTCATCGCAATCCTTACTTTTATATCAATTTACTTTTACTTACAAGTACAACATGGAAAGGTAAATAAAAAAATTTAATTATTATCAACACACGTGCATATCAAATCAAAAAACTTAATAATATAGATAAATTACATTGTAAGTAAATATTCTTTTTCAGTTCAGAAAAAAACTTTTATTAAAATCTACTCTTACTCAGTTTACGGAAGGGGAACTTGAGTTAATGAATCCAGAACTTACAGTAGATGAGCAGGCAGAACTCCTTCCGTACGATATAAGGTGGGAGTTCCCCAGAGAAAAAATAAAATTAGGTAAGAGATTATAAATATATTTTCAAAAAGTGTAAGATTAATTTGATTAATATTAACGTTAAATATATTTCTCTTCAATCACATAAAGATAAGAAATTAGGAAGTGGAGCTTTTGGAGTCGTGTATAAGGCCGTAGCTTACGAAATGTTTGGTAAAAACTCTAAGACAACTGTAGTTGTAAAAACAGTTCGCAAAAATGCAGATCCAATGTATATTACTGCACTAGCCAGGGAACTTAAAATTATGATTTATTTGGGACAACACTTAAATATTACAAGTATTTTGGGAGCTTGTACAAAAACTATAGCCAAACGTAAGCATTCGCGTAATACTATGAGCAATCACATATAAAAGAAAGTGTATTTATTAGACAAAATTATTGTACATTTCAGGTGAACTTTTGGTGATTGTTGAGATTTGCAAATTTGGAAATCTGCAAAATTATCTCTTGGATCATCGACAAACTTTTATTAATCAAATTAAATCAGATAAAGGTGAAATCGGCCCTTGTATCAGAAAAACATCAAATAGGTAATAATTTAACTGATTGTACTTTTTTCAATGCTCAAGTAATTATACGTCAAGTAGACCAAGTACAAAAGAAATACTTGTATTTTTCCATCGATACGTTAATTCGAACTTATTTTTTTATTATAAAATACAAGAAGCATTGATTTTTATCTTAGTTTTGAAGAAAAATTAAAGATAGAATTAATAAAGATAGAAAAATTTAATGAAAATATGCAAAAGTTCTTGTGTTATTACTTAGCATGTCTTCCAAAATCTCAGAGTAAAATAACTAAATGAATATAATCACGTGTCAGAGCAAGTTATGGAGGGCAAATCTGAGTTTGATAAGTATCGTTTGCATGTAGAGAAGAACAGAGCAAAGAACTGAAAAAAGTTTTCATCCATAGCGTTATCATTATACTTTATATCTTTAAATTATGAGTCATAAGGCATTGCTATGCATATTAAATTTTGTATACAACGATTTCAATAATTTATATAATTAAATATANAGCAATGGAGTTGAAATTCAAAAACGTTGTCTTCAGTACGATGAACATTTTGGATTCAAGAAAACTGCTTTCCATCCTAAGATTGTTATTCCTTTAAATGTACGACTTGACTCGTAATCACAACTCCAGTTGTACTACTTGAAAGAGTTAAAACTGTCGATGATAGCATAGTTTGTAAAACAGAATATTAGTAGGATTATTGGTTTTGAGGACATACATGCATTAATGAATACTTATCTTGAATACTTCTTTGAGTATTTGAAGTCCATATACTTATTTTGGTCTAAGTTTAAATAATGTTACCGTTTGTCAATTCAGATTTTTATTGATAAAGCACTTAGTAATTTGGCTAAAGGGTTTGTACAGAAAGAATTAAGTTTTTACATCTACATAAAAAAAACTTCTACTAAATCAAAATTAGTCAAAATTTTCTTGTTTCCTTACAAATTGTAAATCTCATAGACACAACACATGAGTTTAATTTTTTTTAACAATAGGACAAAATACAAGATATTTAATGATTTCAGTGTGGTTTCGAGCGGCAGTAATCCAAGCAATGAGACTAGCATTTACAGCTCAGAGGATCGGACATTTGTTGGCCCAATGGAATTTAGTGATGATTTTGACGACGATGATTCCTAGCTAGGTTGGCGTTCTAATTACAAAGGGGACTACGCGAATGAAGATGTTCCATTTCTCTGCACTAAGGATCTTTTTTCATGGGCTTATCAAGTAGCAAATGGTATGGAGTACCTTTTCCAAAGAAAGGCAAGCACCTATCTGTATACAATTATTCATGTTATTGGATTCCAACATATTAACTAACTTTAGGTGTTTGCTACTCGTTTTATTTTTAGGTGTTACATTGTGACTTAGCTGCGAGAAATATATTATTGACAGAAAATAACATTATTAAGATATGCGATTTTGGTCTGGCAAAGACATTGTACAAAGACGAAAACTATAAGAAGCAATGCGTTGGCAAGTTGCCTGTAAAGTGGATGGCCATCGAGTCCATTAGGGACGGAGTCTTTTCAACTATGTCAGATGTGTGGTCATTTGGTGTAGTTCTATAGGAACTTTTCACTCTTGCAGAAATACCTTACGCAGGTGTAGGGTTCGAAGTAATGTATCAGAAATTAGTCAGGGGATACAGAATGGCTCAGCCTACTTATGCCACTGATGACATGTAAATAAATGTTTTTGTGAAAAGTCCGTTTCCATAAAACTGTCACTCTACATTGCTTATCATTTTTTAGTTATAATATCATGCTCGATTGCTGGGAGGAAGAGCCAACATCGAGACCGTCTTTTACAATGCTAGTTGAAAGTATCAAAAATCTTTTACAAGATGATATCAAAATACATTTTCTAAAACTCTATCATACGTATGAAAATTGGAATAGGGAACCACAGTTAGAAAAAAAAGAAGTAAACCTAACTTCATCATCATGAGACGATATAATATTTCGACCGACCCAGGATAACTACGTTAACACTTTACCCGAAATCGCAAGTCCATCTTATATAAACGTGTTTGATGGTATTACTGTAACTAATATTAAAAATATTTGATCACTTAATGACTTAAACTTTAAAAGCAAATAGCAAGTATGTATATCCAGAAAAAATATATGATTATCTTATAAAAATTTTATGTTTTTTGTAGAGTTTCATAATTATTTAAAATTCTTAAACCAGATGAGACAGTTTCAATACATGTATTGTTTTATACATTTTATTTTAGTTTCTCATTATTATTACTATTTTCTTTTCATCAGCACTGCGTTATGAATTAAACTCTGTATATTCTGATGAATTTTTTTTTATTGCATTTAACAGACCATTTTCAAATTTAATCTCTTACAATCCAAATATATTTTCAGAGGATGGTAAATCAGTAACTTTCGTGGTTCTTATTGATGGATGACTAATACCAACTTTGGAGTGGTAATATGTTTAGTTATTCCTTTTGCTTTGCTATACATAGGAAGTAGTTTTTCCTTAGATTTTTTTGTAACATTTTTTGTATATCTGGATTTTCCCTTGGAGACATAACATTTGTCATTACTGAACAGGCATAAGAATATTCAGAAGAGAACGATAAGCTGATTGACTATATCAAATAGGGATACAGATGGTATGTGATTGTGACTGTTAAAGTTGAAAATGATAGAATAGTAAAAAAGCTAAAAATATATGTGAAGCTTACACATTACATAAAGCCTGTTGTGTATTCGCATGATATAAATATTTCAAACAAAACGAGATGCAAAAATTCAAAAGTAAAAAAAGTTGATTATTTTCAGTAGAAACATAACATTTTTAATTATTGAATAGGTCCAATATGTTTAATAACTGGGAGCATTATATTGTATTTGGCGAGTCACGGTGAAAGTTTTATTTTAACTCCAGACTCTCGACAGTTAAATAATATTGATCTCACAATTCTACAGTTTTAGTTTTGAGTGTAGAAAGGTGAGCAATTGATCGTGCTCTTTTTCATTACATCATGAAATTTGGTTACTGAGAAATTAGACGCATTTTAATTATTTTTTAGTTATTATTTTAAATACAAGATATAACTTACAAAAAATGGAAATGTTAAAAAATTATGTTTCTAATGTCGATTTTCATGAAGAATAGTCATTTTTGTAACCTTTGGAAGGCATTTCAATGTTGGTGGGATTTTTGCACGACTACACAGCACCTCTTCAGAAAGCAAGTAATAACAAAACAAAACAGCGAATTTGCTTAATTACTTGACCTATTTTGCTGTGGAGGTCCATCCTAAGTCTGCTAACTTAGTTTTATTAACAGCAGTACTTTCTTAAGATATTACAAACGTCATTAAATACTTACACGCACAGTAATTAAGGTTCCAAAATGTCAAAAGCTGTAGCTTAGTAACAGAAGGAAAGGGGGGCTGTAGAAGAAGTTTTTAATTGAGACAAAGACAGGTGATTGAAAGCGGGAATTAGCTTAATTGCTATTCAACTAATCACAACGACACAGCTATGAACAGTGCCTTGATGGACGTAAGAATGTCCGATTACGGAACGATGAGACCATAAACTATATTAAACATCGATAAAAATGACACGGGAATTTTTACGCTTAAAGCCAAACATGATAAAATAGTAGAGGAGTTGAAATTTTATCTTGATGTTCATGGTTTATAAATATTTTAGATTTTTGCGTGACATAAGTATTTTGAACGGACAAGATTGAACATTAAAACAGAATAGTAAGACAATTGTTTCTTACAGTTTTATCACACAGTTTCGAGCATTTTTAGTTCAATATTATCGAAACTGGAAGTAGTCTGTAAGCAGTGGTAAAATTGTTATTTAAACTCTAGACTTGCTGCATCTGAATAATAATGATCTTATGGTATTAGTTTTGAGTTTTAGAAAGTTAATAATTTTTTATTTTAGATTATATGCTCCAATTAAAAGGAAAAAAACGTCGTCTCTTATAAAGATTTGAGACTTTATCATTTTCTTTACTTACATAATGGTGTTTAAATACTGACCTCACTAATAAGAAACCATTCCGAACATAATTTGACAATTTTTTAAAAATTGGCACTTCTTAATTGTAGATTAATGGGCTTGATAGAAACTATGTTTGAAATTGTGTATTGAACGGATGTGTATACTTTTATGTCAATGAAAGTTGCAACCATTTACACTTATAATTTATGAGTATTCCACATTAGACATTAATTTAAATTCAGACCAACTCTTTTTGCATCATTTACAGAAAGAGACATAAAAGATTCATGAAATCGTCCAAAAATGATCCATAACACATTCAGGAGAATGACGGACTACATTGTATGATTTTTTAATAAATGAAGGGCCAAACAGTAATTTTTTATATGGTTTTCGTATTCGAGATTAAATTAATATTAGTCTATGTATATGTATTTTTCTTGCAGATAAGCCAACGGTCGAGTTTGACAAAACTTACCTTTAATCTTATTACAGTTTTAATAAAACTGCCAAGTTTGTTTGCCTTGTCAATCGTCATCCTGAGACGAATATATCCTAAACCAAAATTAACTATTGCACGAAAACGTTGACACTTGACTTTACGGAACATTTCTTACAGGTTTGTTAGTTACTATTAAAAATAATTTGCTCTTCTGCATTCTTACGTTTAGACTAATATTTGAATGTAACCATAAAAATAACATTTTCTGAAAGTTAATTCATTTTTCCAGGGAATAGAAACAGATGTGCAGAATAGCAATTTCAAACAAAAGTAAACGGTAGAACCGAAACAGCTAGTAACATCTGGTGTAATAAAATGCAAGGCTTGCAATAGCTATGGATACACCTCTACGTCAAAGAAAATTCGCATTACAGGTAAATAGATCTAAATAATACCCAGTGTTCAACTTGGATTTTTATCTATCTTTTACTTTCGTACGTGAGTTGCTATTGCATAAATAATTTTTTTTTTCTTTAGATGGGGTAGGTTATATATCTTTTAGAATCATACAACCAAATAGAAGTTTTTAGAAAGGTGAAAATATTTCTTTAATATGTGCTGCTATAATCAATGATTTCTCCATCGTCATATGGTATGACGATAATGGTCAAGTGGTAGTGGGCTCCAGTTATTTCTAAATTTTTTTTGACAAGTGATATTGAGTTAAGTTTTTTAGTACAGTTTGACCAATTATACATGTTTTTCAATCTATATAGAAAGCAAACACGTTACATCGAAGGTAACCGAATTTACTCACCAACTCATTCTCACGATTAATAACGTAAGTGAATCAGATAGAAGGAAGTACTATTGCAAAGGGACGAAAAGATACTACGGATTTCTTGGATATCCTTTGCGCAAAATACTTACGGAATCATATTTCCTTAACATTAATGGTAGAAATGAGAAACAGTTATAATACACATTATCATTTATAAATCTCAACTATTTTCACTCTGTTGATGATAATTTTATTGTGTAGATACACCTTCTTTTACCCTTGTAAATTTGAACGCTACAGAGAGAACATGATGGCAAGAGATTTTAAGAATCTCCTGACATTATCATGCCACGTTGAGGGGATTCCAACCCCTAACATTACGTGGTCAAAAACAATTAACTTCTGAAGAGTTCATTACAGTATACTTTTGAAGACAGCAATTAAAAATTAGTTATAAGATATTTTCTTTAAAAAGATGTTGGTAATTATTCATGCCATGCTAAGAACGATTACAAAACTGTGGAAAAATTACAAATTATTGCTGTGATAGGTAGCATATGCCATTGCCAAAAATAATTACACATTTTTTTATGTCATGTTTTTATTTCGAAAAATAAATTATACTGAGTAAAACTACTACAGTTTAGTTTAATTTACATTTTCTTATACTATCTAAAACTATGATAGGCATTGTCAAGTTCTTAACAATAAATAATTCAATATAAATAAAGGAGAATATTGTTTTATTCAGTTACAAAATAAGTAATTAATTAAAATAGTTTATTTTATACTAAGCAGTCCATGATAGAAGCACTTGACAAACTTTTTACTGAACAAGGCTGTTTGAGTCACGCTTGAGTCCAAAACAGAAAAAGAGGTGTGTTGAAAGTTTAAAAAAAGTTTTTTATGTTTATTGTTGTAAAATCATATGTTCGGTGCATACAATTAGTGAAATTATGCCTTCAGTATTCGAGAAATATTACTTTCCGTGTAGGAAAATCTTATTACTTTCTTATACAAGAAATGTTACATAAAAAAAAATACTCTTCGATAAAAATGACATGATATACACTTTTTTAATAAATTAGAATCAAAGTAGTGTACACTGGCAATTATATAGGTATGAGTGTGTTTGTACATGTGTTTGCTTGCATGCGCGTATGTGTAAATTTTACTAATATATAAAGCAAAAGCGCTAAAACCGTTGTAATCGCTTGCCGCGAAAACTACTGAACCGATTTTGTTGAAATTTCGCACACTGATTCTTTCTAGATGGTTTTTATCTTAAAAAATTTAATAACAATAGCAAAAAATGAGCTTAAAGTTTTGCAAAAATATGCCAGCTTTTCACTTTAG